AATGGAAAATTGACAATATAACCCTCCAGTCAACCTGCATTTGTATGTCTTCACCTTCTACAGAATATAAGCTTCATCAGGCTAAGAGCTTGAGCAGATGCTGTTTACAAGCAGGGCTGGAGAACCTGGTTTTGTCCTCCCTTCTGTCAGTAGGGGTCAGGTAGACCAAATCCACACTCATATAGACTCTAATTCTCAAACACCATGCATATTTAAATCAGTATCATAAATTGTATTTTGCTATTTTACATATTGTATGTCCAAAAATATCCAGAATGCAGCTGCTTTAAGGTGCTTCCATTTCTGACACATCTCGCGTAATTTCCATGGAAAAGATTTGCCAATGGAATGAGATGCTCTAGAGCAGTTGCACATGAGCCTGAGGTCACATGCCCAATACCGAGAGTTGGCTAGAGGGGTATGAAGGCCCCCAATACTGGGCTGTTTAGAAGTGAAACTGTGTTCTCTGGAGTGATCATCAGTACCTGACCTCATTAATGCTCTTTTGGCCAAGTGCAATCAAATCCTTAGAGCAATGTTCCAACATAAAGCCATCCCAGAAGAGTAGGGACTATTAATGCAGCAAAGTGGGACAAACGCTCTATTAATACCCTTCATCACATAAGGAATGCTGTACAACTGGGCATCTATAAACCTTTGCACAGATATTGTATGTGAGTAAAAATATAAGAAATATAAGAAATATAAGAAAATCAAATAAAATAGACATAAAAAGATTTAAGATATAAAAAACTGTGAAAAGAAAACAATTTGAATATGTGAATGTATACATATGTGCAAGATATATCCATATACATATATTCATTGCTATTTGCATACTTATGTGTAATGCATTACAGAGATATGAATATTTATATAGTGATAGAATTAGATATTAAGAAGCCTTTCAAATAAACAACAAAACACTGAGCTAATTAAATGCTCAAACTTTTAAAAGCTAATGAACAATAGAAATTTTAAAATGTTGCTGATACTTTTAAACTAAAAGCTATTCTAAGAGGAGCCTCTCATCCTGCCTGGACAACAATGTGAACACAAAAGTGATTATTAAATTAATCCTCAAAGAGTGACCCTGCCACACAATAACTCTTCAATGGAATTACAGCTCAGTGGAGGCTGCATGTGTTTGTGTTCAAAACCCAGAGACTGAAATTTAGATCATTTCTTTATTATCTGTTTTTTCTACATGAGAGACTCAGTCAAAAGTTTTTCAGCCCACTGTAAGTTTCCAGAGGCTTATATACCTGAGTGTTTTTAACTGGAGTACTTTCTCCTTTAGATGGTTTAAAATATATCCATGGCAAAAATTATTTGTGGAAATTGGCTCATTTCATATAGATCATTAATTAATTAAATTTACTGTTTTAATGGTTTTGTCTGTCATTGTATGTCGCAACAACAAATCAGATTTGATCAGAAGAGGCATTCAGTGCTTATGAGCATGACAACACACAGTGCTATTTACAATGAGCGCTTCATAGATATCAAAACTGTCTCAGAGTTATATGGACAATAAGCTGTTAAAATCCCCAGCCTGGAAAAGCAGACTCTTCTGTTTCTAACTATGCTGGTAAAAACACACGTTTGTTTCTACCCGTTTCCTGACATGCCCCGTTCAGTCTTAGCGCAAAACGGGTGGGAAAAAAACACCTGCGTTTTGAGATGCACTTTTCTGCTGATGACACGTGTTTAACAGGCTTATAGATGATCATGTTTGCTGTAAGGGTCAGTGTGTGTGTAAGTGTTCGTTTTCTGTCTCCAATTTGTATTTTTAAAACAATACATGAAAAGATTTGAACTACATTTTGAAAAATGAAATGTGAAATTTGCTTAACAATGTTGTGTCAAGTGGTTCGACGCAGCTGGATGAAGTGCCAATAAGATACTTAACTAAGTAAAATGAACTTAAAAATAAAAAAAAAATCACAAAGTGGTTTGAGTAAAGTCTGATTAACTGGACTGATCATTCCTAATGTTAGTCCTACATTCAACTTCATATGTTGAATAACATATGAAGCAGGAGAAGCAAGTTCGGGGTTTAAAGGGGAGTTCCACAGAATTTTTAAATTTCTGCGTAAATCAATTTATAAGATGTAAACAACCTAGTTCAGGATGTTTTGATGTACAACACTTTACAACTCTCTATAGAAACTTATCTACTGAGATTTTTTGTATAGTTGTGTTAATAGGAACCCGTGTTCACGTTGTCTACAGCGCAAATACATCCATTTTATTATTGTAATTTATTAATGGCAAATCCATTTTATTATTAATTAGTGGAATTATTTTTCTTTGATTGCCATTGCCTTACAACAACCTGCACGTAGGCTACCTCTCCAGCATGAATGGATTTTAAACATCACGTTTTACACCAAAAAAGGCATCGAACTCTTCAGACGTCTGGTTACTATCACCACCACTGTGAACAAATGAAACAGTATGCAAATAACTGGTGCCAGGAGCCGATAAGAAAGATGCTGAATCTTACTCAGCACGTTTGTATTGACCAAATAAGCGTGTATGAAGTCAATTTCAGGACTCATTGTGTTTCACTGTAACATCTGTTACAGCGTCACACGCATTTGTAAAATAACATCAGTGAGAGAAAATTAATTAAACCAGCGTGGAGTCTCTCCTCATTCCCCTCAAAGTTTTCATAGTTTTATGTTGTTTTTAGTATGAACCATAGCCAATCTTAGCACAGGGGGCGGTGCCTACCGGAACACGGGTGGGGAAAAAAATAACGTGGAAACCCTATTAGATGAAGCCGTGACTGCTTCTGTTGGACCCGGAGAGGGTGGGAGGGCACTGCGTGTGTGTGTGTGTGTGTGTGTGTTCTCCTTTTCCCAGGCAGTTTAGACTGTGATATTTATACAGATGAATTATGTAGCAAGTGGAAGATGAAAGCAGCCAGCAGGAGCTAAAGCCCAAATTCTCCTGACAGAGATGAAACCCACACGTTCACGCTTAATCCGGAAAACGACAGCGAGAAAATTAGTTGTTGGTTTATTCAGCCGCCTTCACCGTCGACCTGGCTGGAAATAAAATTGGCTAAAAGGCAGCTTGATTGCGCAGAATTTAACTATCAGCTGTAAACTGTCCTGCAGGAAAATCAGATGTAAATATTACAGAGCAAATCCTCCTTCAGCCTAATGGCTGCCCTGCGTGACTCAAACTGTGACACTGTGATCTGTTAGACAGTTTACAGAGCAGAAGGGTCTGTGCTGAGATCACACCTGTACAGGTTTATTGATCGCTGCGGGTCGGTCAGAGTTTTATTAGTCAAAGAGGAGTTACAGTGTAAAGCCAGCGCAGTGAGCGGACTGAGGACTGACAGCTCACCATCAGCTGAGTCCCAGTCCGGCTCCCTCTCTCACATGACTTTAACGGGCTGGGTTTACTGTTTGGGCTCCTAAGAGAGCAAATATGACCAGTTTAGATAAGAGAGAAGTGACATCAGTGATTGAAGAACACTTTCTAATCAGCGTTTTACATTTACATTTACAAAGCACGACAGCACTGCGCACGAGCCACAGATCTGTTAACGACAGCCTCATATTATTATTATTATTATTATTATTATTATTATTATTATTAATAGAGTAGCTCACTCTTTAAGCATCTTTCATAACTGTATTTATTACTGAATCGACAACAAAACAACAACAACAACAACAACAACAATAATAATAATAATAATAATAATAATAATAATAATAATAATAATACACGTGCACAAACAAAAAGGGTTCATGAGTTCAAGATTCAAACGTGTCAAGTGGCTGCACACAAATAAAATATGTTACATCAGCACAATTGCTTTCTTGAAGTTTTCTTGTTTTTGCTATAATTGTGTTTGTGTAATACACTTACATTCATTTAAAATTGTTCGACACATTTAATAACATAAATTAAAAGTGATTTTTTTCATTGTAATAATAATAAATTTGTTTACCTTCATGAAACTACTGCAGCTGCTTTAGTTTCGTTTCTGATTTAAGTGAACGTTATTAAAACCAGGAGCTCTGTTTGATTTACAGCAGCTTCATTTTATTAACGTGGACATTAACGTTATTAACTTTCACAAACCTTTATAAAAACGTTGTAATAGACCAAAAAGGTTCATACAGTTTTCTCGTTCCTCTCTTTCTTTCCTTCTTCCTTTCTTTCTTTCTTTCTTCTTTAGATTCTCACATTCTCACATTTTCTAAACGCTCATGGGGGGGGGGTGTTATAGCTAAGTGTCCGTTTGATTTGTGTTTGTCTGGCTGAGGTCTGAATAATCTTCACTAATCAACACTTGTAGAAAAATCTAATTACCGCCTGCTCCTAATGAAGTGCCCATCACCCGCAACTACAGTCCAGAGCTCTCTCAGAGTTTAGCTTTATTCAGTGCTGCTCACATATTAATAACGAGGGTCAAAGTGTTCAGACGGTCCATTAAATATGTATAAACTGAAAAAGCCCGCCTTTTTCACTTGATTCAAACTTGTACGTCAACACAATACAATACTTCATCAGAACAGTTTTTTGTCGACAACAAAAAGTGGCGCAGTGAGAGACCAAACCGCGTTAATTATCATATATTTTATTCATGTGGAAATGAGAGCGCCTCTTCCACTGAGTTTGCGCTGCCTGCATTACTGTTTCTTTATCACCACTGTTTATCTTCTCCACAGCGGCCTTTGTCTTTGCAGATGCCCCCCCCCAGAGGGGCAGTTTCTCTCCGGGGCCACGGCCACTGGGGGAACGCTGCTCTTTCTGGGGGGGCGAAGGGGGGGGGGTGGTGTTGTTTGGGGTGCTCTAGTTGGGGCAGTGATTGGGGGGGTGTAGCTGTACCGCCCCCCACCGCAGCAGCTCTTCTGCCCCCTGCGCTCTGCCCACGCGCACGGCAGCCTGGGAAGGAGAGCGGAGCAGGAGGAGGAAACGGGAGGAAATCTGCTCCTCACTCAGTCCTCTGCGCTCGGCCCAAAGGGAGCATGATGGCGTATCTGAAACAAGCCCCGTACGGAATGAACGGGCTGAGCCTGTCCGCCACGGGCATGGAGCTGCTTCACCCCACCGTGGGATACCCAGGTAAGCCCACCTTCCATCAGTGTAGACTGTTTTCTCTGAGCTGTGCTCTCATAATACTGTAGTTCACTGCCGCACACTCCCCGAAATAAATGGAACGGAACTAATCGTTCTTTCCAACGATGCCATAGAAGAGCATCTTTAGGTTCCGTAAGAAACATTTCAGTGCATGGTTCTTTAATTAACATTAGACATGTGAGTGTGAAGAACCTGTTCAAAGAACCTCCATGTAAATGTTGTGAAGTTTTTCTTTTTTTTAATTGTATGTCCAATTTAAACTTTATATTTCAGACTGTATTGATGATGTGGTCTAATTCATTGCGTATTAAAAATAAAAGTGCTAAATAAGGATCTTTGGTGTGATGCCATAGTAGAACCACTTTCGATTCCCTGGATGGTTCTTTAAAGAACTGTTTTTTGTAAGAGGGATGTGTGAGGGTGAAAAATCTTTTCAACGTTTGAAGAACTTCTACATAAAGTAAATGTTCTTTTTCTGATGTCCAAACCAAGAACCATTAAGGAACCTTCATGATGGGGTCTGACTGATTGCACTTTTAAAAATAAAGGTGTTCTTTGGAGTGATGCGCTAGATGAACCATGTTATTGGATGTATTTTGCACATGAGATGTATGACGAACCTTTTTCGCGTTTGTCATTCCACAGAATTCCACTGTTCTATACAAAGAGTTTTTTTTCTAGAACCCTGCGACCAAGCCTTTTAGGAACCTCTAACAAGGGTGTAGAGGTTCTCTTTGGAACCTAAAGTGATGGTCCTGCTGTATCAGTGTGGTTAAACTTGTCGTTTAGTCCATATTAAATTAAATTGGTTCACTTTAGCCTTTCTTTTGGGCTCAAAGTCACGAGAAATATTTGGACTGTAAAATAATTCAGTCGAAAGTGGCTCCTTATTAGAAATATGTGGCACGTTTTGGATGTAGAAGCGTCGAATTCATAATTTATTTCTGAGATTGCTGGAGATTCAGCTTTCTCTTGCTTTTCCTTGTTCGTAAAGTTATGTTTCTGTCTCTTATTTAACATTTTAAGGCAAACAGACGCTTTTAGTTTAAAACAACAAGAACTTTGTAGTGAAATTGGGAAGGAAAACTGGATTTTTTGTTTTATTTTATAATTTATTTATTTACTGGACGATACCTGGTGTGTAATTCTTGGCAATTTGTATATGTCATTTTTTGTTTTATATTAAAAATTCAGAAATCAGAATTAAAACGTTACGATCACTGAAACATCTATTGTAATTGACCTCAACACAAACCCAGATCATACAATTATCTCAACAGATTTTTTTGCCTCGTTCAAAATGAACCAAACGCAGAACAACATTTAAATCTTTATGTCCTGTTTAGCATTAGACCCCCCTCCGCCCCCCCTCCACCGCTCCCGAGAGTAAACATTAATAAACATGAGCTACAGACGGTAACAATCACCGCTCATTAACTGCGACTCCCAAAGGAAACAGTCTGTTTATGAATGATTGTATATTCGTATTTACTGTTGTTGTTGTTTTTTACTGTTGTATTAATATGAAAACATGTTTGTTGCAGCGGCGCCCCGTAAGCAGAGGCGCGAGCGGACCACTTTTACGCGCGCGCAACTCGACGTGCTCGAAGCGCTGTTCGCCAAAACGCGCTACCCGGACATCTTCATGCGCGAGGAGGTGGCGCTCAAGATCAACCTGCCGGAGTCCCGCGTGCAGGTGAGCTCGAGACACGAGGTCCATTAAGAGGAAGTTAGTCACACAGACAGCACAGCGGACTGTTTACAGCAAACTGTTAAAATGACTGACTTTTAATCACTCAAATAGGTGTAAGCGGTTCAGAGCATACTCTGATATTCCTCAGGTCCTTATTTACACCAGCTTCAGGGCTCTAAACATAAATGTTCATAATACATAAATATTAATATCAAAACAATAGTGGATATTAGGCAGTTATACAATAATTCTTACGTTATGTCATTCAGTAAGTGATTTTCTCTCATTTGTATTGTGGAGCAGGTTGAGAATGAGTTTAAAAGACAGTGTGATTTAAGTTTCTATTAATCCTGTTTATTCTCACCGACAGAAAGGTCTTCTATTGACTTAATTCCATATTAAAGCACAATCCTTGGCTGTGTTTTACTTTTCTGAAATTTTTTTTTATTATTATTTCTACTCAGCTATTTGTGAGAAAAAGGAATCTAACTCCATTTCAGTTCATTCCAGCACCTCAATGCTGTGCGTTGTTTTGAATTTCATTCTGTTCTGTTGGGTCAGCAGCCAGACTGTTTTTTTCTGCTGCTCATTTTACAGTTTTGTATTAGACCAACAAAACATGTGTTAAAAAACAGCACATTCTTTCTTTAACTGGACACATCAGTGTTACTTTAAACACAAAATGTGTTAAACTGTTTCTATACCCGGTTATGGATAACACATTATAACACAGCTTTTAACACAGAATGGGTTAAATCAGAAAACAATATGACACAAAAACTGTTCAAATAAGTAACATTAGTTAGTGTGTTGTTATTTAACACATCACTTTTTAGAGTGCTGGTAGATGCAGGTAGATAATAAGAACTTCCACTGCAGGAATTTTCTTTTACTTCCACTTCTACTTGAATCATCATTGCACTGAAATCTGGTGACAGAAAAGCTCATACACTCTCAGAAAAAAGATATGAAACTGTCACCGGGGTGGTACCCTCAAAGGTACATCTCAGTACCTTTAGTCATGAACATAACTGTACCATAATCCATTGAAATTATATTTTCTAAGTTGTATTGACTCTACACACCCCGTCTCGTCTCCAGGTCTTTTATTTTATTGTTCTGTTTTAAAGCATTATTTTATAAAAATGATACAAATATGTTCTTTTCACCTGGAAAAAAACTTATTTAAGGTGCGCAATTGGACCTTAAAACCACTGTTGTACCTTTGAAGGTACGTTTACATTGTTTGTATCTGGTTGAACAAAAATTATACCTGCACAGAACCTTTATTTCTAACAGTGTATACATGAAGGGTTTTGATTCTAACCCTGATTATGATTGGGCACCGAGCACAGTAAAACTACCTTATTCAGTTATCTGAACAATTCTGGTTCATCTAAATTAACTTGGTGATAATACAAGGTTACCAAAACAGGCTTATGGGAACCATCTGGAATTCTACTTTAATATTTCATACTGATTCGGAGTCACAAAGAAGATGCTAACACCATTATTAGACTGGATTTTATTCGGTCAAAACAAATTTACAGACTGAAAAAGTGATGCGCTGAGTTTGATTCAAATGCGCATCTTTCAGTTTACTTATTTTCGGCAACAGTTGTGCTGTTTTATTAAAGTTGAAATGATGTGTGCACCAAGCAAATTCAAGGCATCCCCTTTTCATCACTGCCTCTGTTTCCACTGTGCACCATAAATCAATACGACCAGATCAATACACCAACGGACCGAGCGTGTCTTAAGCGTTCTTCTTTCTCTGTTCCAATTCACCAGGTTTGGTTCAAAAACCGCAGAGCGAAGTGTCGCCAGCAGCAGCAGCAGCAGCAGCAAACCCAGCCCGGAACCCCGAACAAGGTCCGACCCGTGAAGAAAAAGTCTTCTCCAGTCCGAGAGGCGAACTCCGAGGTCCCCAGCTCGTTCCCGCCGGCCTCCAGCGCCTCTTTACCTCCTATCCCCAGCAGCACCGGACCGCCAGCATCCATCTGGAGCCCAGCCTCCATCTCCCCCCTGCCGGACCCGCTCTCCACCTCCTCGTCGTCTTGCATGCAGCGCTCCTACCCCATCTCCTACACCCAGGCGTCCGGCTATGGCCAGAGCTACACGGCCACGTCGTCGTACTTCAGCGGTATGGACTGCAGCTCGTACCTCGGGCCCGTGCACCCGCAGCTGAGCGGCCACGGCTCCACCCTCAGCCCGCCGTCCAGCTACGGAGCCCCCAGCCTGTCCTTCAGCGAGCCCTCCCCCTGCCCGGACTACAGCAAAGAGCAGAGCTGGAAGCTCGGCTTTAACGCGGACTGCGTGGATTACAAAGAGCACGCGCCGTCGTGGAAGTTCCAGGTTTTGTAACGTGGTAAAATGCGACACTGCTTTGGAAATATCCGCGCGCCTGCAGATGAGGACGACTGGCCGGCCAATGCAATGGAGAGTTCACTCAGTTCAGTCAGTTTTGACTTATTGAAACTGTTGCTTTTTTATTAAGCGAAGGAGAGAAAGTGGTTAAACACCAGGAAAGTGGCCGAATGGACCCAACAGTTCAGCGTTTATTAACTTAAACCTCTTGAAAAGTTCTCGCCTGGCGAGCTGAGGCGGAAGGAAAGCGCTGTTGTTGTTTTTTTCTACACTTGTATTCCGGCAGGCCCCGGCCCTCGAGCACTACGATTGGTTTGAAGAAGTCAGCGAGCTTAGCCAGGATTGGCTACCCGTTAACAATCCTCCAGCCAATCCTAGCACGGATGGGCGGGGCCTGTTCGAATACGGGTGGAAAACAATCACGGGGGAAAATTACACGCCAGTTTTTATTAAAAATGCACTATTCTATTTATGACAGGCGTTTAAGAGGTTTGTAGTTTTTTTGCTGTAAGAGACAATCAGTGTAAGTGTTTTTTGTGTGTAAATGTCTCCAATCTGTATCTTTTTTCTTTCTTTTTTAAACTGTGATCTGTTGTAGGCTGTTTGAGCTTCTCCTCAGTGAAGACATGCTGTAAATTTTGATAGTTTTTTATGTTATGGACAACGATAAATTATTCTTTGACTTGTAAATAGTTTTCTCCCCGAATGTTAGACCTATATATTAAAATATTCCTAATTTGAAGAAGCCGTTTTCTCATGACTACCATTCCCATTTTCTTTTTAAATTTTATTCTTCAAATTATCTGTTTTTGCTTTCTGCTGCCACTCACAGGCCTTTAGTCCAGCCTGAACTCCTTTTAACTCCGTGTCTGACATGCTGGTCTAAAAGATTGATTCAATTTAAATTCTCATTGGGCTTAAAGGTGGGAGAGATTTATATTAGACACAGCTATCACACTTCTAATTAATGAGGAGGTAATTATTCGTGCTGCCCTCGAGTTCTCTTGTCTTCATCGCTGGTGCAGTTACAGTGGTGGGTCAAAGCCAAAGCACGTGACTCAAATGAAATTATTATTATTATTATTATTATTATTATTAATAATAATAATAATAATAATAATAATAATAAGGTAAAATTTTTACCTTAAACTATATTTTTATATTTTTCTGAATCAGCTGGGGTTGGTCCTAAAATGCTTTTGGGAAACAGGGCTGGAGTTTCTTTAATTCTCCATTAAAGCAGGCTTTAATCCACAAGGGCCTTCTCGGACACTCGTTACATGGAGTGGGAGCTCTGGGAATGCTCACTGAGTTAATCCCGCCTCAAAGAGAGGATCACCCAGGAATCTCTCTCAGTCCAGCCCACACTGCGCCAACCAAGCTCTCCTGAGTTCAGTTTAAACACTGTCAGTGCACAGCCAGGTCACCTTTAAAGAACACTGTGTCATTTGTTCTAGGCTTTTCCTCCACTGACAAGATGTGGCCAGACAGCAATATAATCTGGGTTTGTGTTGGTTTCACTTAAAAGAACAAATCTTTTAGGACAGTGAAGCTCTTTCTGCTTCAGTACACTGAAACTGCTTTGAATGAACAGATTCAAAGTGTGTCAGTCAGCTGGACATGGCATCAACACAGTTTACGCAGCTGCTGTATTTTAGTTCATGTCTGTAGGCAAGAACTGTACTGTTGTGACTCATTGACGAGTTCAACCAATGATCACACATGAAAAAGATTACAATACCAACAACAAAAGCAAATGAGGATTAATGTATAATAAAGAATGCCTGCCATTAAAAGCAGAAAGAGTGCTAGTAATGAAAAAGAGTGTCAGTTTGATTTTAATATTCTTTAACTGAATAATGTGTATGGCTTTACACTGTAAACAAAATAATGTTTTTCATCTTAACCTAAAACAATACTTCACGTGGTAACAGTCAACGGAACTGGCTTTATTCAACACAAATAAAAAATTTGAATAAAACAATACATATCAAAGTTTTAGTTTAAGTGAACAAAAGCAAACCTCAAATATACTGCAAATCAACATCTACCTTGTTCCAACTTTTAAAGCCAGTAAAATCAATAAAACCAATGTGCATTAAAAAGTGCTGCTTTGAATTTACTTCAAATGTGTACATCAGTTCACCATGAATACAACACATTTCAGGTAAAATGAATGGCAACAATTGTCTATATATATATATATATATATATATATATATATATATATATATATATATATATAAAATATAATTAAAATTATATTATAAAATTCACGTGAAACAAATGTACACATTTAAATAAAAAAAATTTAAAGCAACTTTTACTTTGTGTGTGACGGGTGCTGAGGATAGAAATGAGAGATGTTTTGAAAGATTAATTCAAAAGCACTTCTCTGAGCAGCTGAGAGGTGATGAATAACACCAGAAAGGCTTAATAAAGCATCTTTGATGAGTTCATTAAAATATCTCTTTTGACACAAATAACATATTGGCTATGTGGAGATTTTACTCTGATGACTTATTTGGCCTGTTCAGAGCATCTGTTTTCAGTTAAATTAACTGAACTTTGACTAATTTTTTCTTGAGTGATTTTTTTTGAATGCCCTCCTTGACTTAGAAACTAAATAATAATAATACACATTTCATACCATATTATATATGTCATATATTTATATAATACGTATTACATTGTACTATAATGCATAGGTGTCTTTTCAAAAATGTGTTGCTATTATTATTATTATTATTATTATTACTATCAGATTTACACCCATTTCATTCAAGCAAATAAATATGTTGACGTCTCATTACACATTAAACATACACCAAAAATGTTCATGATATAAATGTGCAAATACATTACATCAGCTTGACTGCTTTCTCTAAATTTACTGTTTTTGGCAATAAACGTGTTTGTGTAATACATTTTATTCATTTACAACCACTTACTTGTCAAAGCAATATATACAACATTCAGCTTCAGTCACAGAGCCACTATAGTGAGAACAGCATGTGGTGAAGCTCCTTATAGACATATAATCATATTCCATTACGAAATGCTTCTGTGTAAGTAAACGGAAGCTGGTATTTTTATGCCACCCTTTTCCATATTCATTTACACATCCAGCACATGGAGATCAAGAACATCCAATTCTTGAATAGGAAGCATTTCCAACAGGCAAATGAGTAAAGAAACTGTGGAAATGTGCAAATGTGATGTTTCATTCTCTGAGGACAAACTGTGGTTGAACATAATCTCATACAGTATATAGGTTTGTATGTCCAATAGTTTGTAGGCACCTGCTCCAATGTTTCTTCTGAAATCAAGGGTAAGGAGTCTCCTTTTACTGCAGTAACAGCTTCTCTACTTTTTCTGGGAAGACTTCATGCTTGATGCTGGAACATTTCTGTCAGATTTGATTGCATTCAGTGACAAGAGCCTCATTGAGGTCAGGTACTGATATTGGATGATTAGTTCTGGATAACAAACACGCCTCCAACTCATCCTGATGGAGCTCCATCACTCCAGAGAACGCAGTTCCACTGCTCCACAGCCCAATGCTGAGGGGCTTTATGTTCCTCTAGCTGACGCTCGGCAATGGACTTGGTAATCTTCGGCTCATGTGTAACTGCTCCAGAGCATCCTCATCTATTGGCAACGCTTTTCTGGACAAGCAATTAAACACCTGTACCAACAATGCATGCATCTTAAAGTAGCTGAAGTCACTTATTTGAAGAGTGGATGCTTCTGGACCTATATCAGTCTCACGAGCTAGACTTCTATCTAGAATCAGAAGTTCATACTGACTCCAAACATCTTCTGAGGCTTTAGCAGTACCACAAACATGAGATCCAAATGAAAAAGTTATCAAAATAGAAACTGTATTATTCCAGTTCCACGGTTTTGAGCACAGGAGACATAAATGGTGAAAATGGCACAGAAGCTCTTAACAGTTATAAGGCAATTTACTAAGGGCTTTTATCAAGCACAACACATGTCCAGTTTTTCAGTAATCCTACTAATAGTAGCTGGTGTAATCCTGCAACAAGCAATGTTAATGTTAGAATTATTATAGCTATTAACATGGTGGTTTTAAATATCTTTCATATTACAGTGTCTATTATGTCATTGGTTAATTATGGAAAGGTAGACAGAGCATATGCACTGTGTGAATGTAGATCACATTGCTCAATTTATTTAGAGGCTTCGCTTGATCTGAAATGCACTTGCTTAAAGCAGGTACTTTGATAGGATTGTGTTTGTTATCCTTGCAAACAGAGACACATATGTGCTCAGTAAAAACACAGTGGCACAGATCAGGGAAACACAAAGCTGTAAGCTGATTACAGGTTTTCAACATATGTAAAATGGAATGCCATCTGAGTGGAAGAGCTTTTGTGAGGTTAATACCTCGTTATTGGGGAGCTGGGGAGGGGCGGTGAGCGTGGAAACCTTTAAATTTGGGATTACAGGGCCAGAGCATTTACTCAAAGCCAGATCAATACTTGGACCATCATAGCCTGAGGCCATTAGTTTTAAAAAAATGGAGGAAATTTGCCATCCATAAAGTTGTTGTGGATTGAAAAGCATTTAGCATTTTGGGCACTTGGTCAAACCCACCAACCATTACCGCACTCTAAAACTGGACATTACATGAAAAATGGTAACCCACTTTTTATTTTTAAACAGGATCTTACCATGGTTAAGGTTGGAACCAGGGACGAAGATCAAAAGTCAGTTATTTTTAACCCATTAAAGTCTAAGGGCTTGAATTTGGGCCTGCACCTCAAATCCTCACTCTCATAACTACATATTATTGCTATTCAGAAAAAAAAAATCTCCAAAATGGTAACTTTACAGTGGAAGCTAAAATCATTATTTCCTTTAATGTAAGTTAAAGTAATGAAATTTATGAAAAAATGAAAAGAAAAGTTGAGATATATGTTTTGTTTCTGAACAGCAACTGTTAGAAATAAAGGGTCTGTGCAGGTACATTTTTCGTTGATCAAGGTGAATGTGCCCTCAAAGATACAGGTTTTAAGGTTTAATTGTATACCATAAATAGATTTTTCCCAGTGGAAAAGTACATATTTCTACCCATGTATTACCTAATGTTTTAAAACAGAACTATAAAATAAAAACCCTGGAGACGAGATGGGGTGTGTGGAGTCAATACAACTTAGAAAATATCATTTCAATGGATTATGGTACAATTAAGTTCCCTGTCTAAAGGTACAGAGATGTACCCTTGAGTATACCACCCTGGTGACA